ATTAAAACTTAAAACAATTGCCGCACGATAATTGAAATTTAAGTAACACCTACATTATAATCAAAACTTAAAACAATTACCACATGGTAATTGAAATTTTCAAGAATTATCATATTATAATCAAAATTTAAAACTATTATCGCATTAAATTGAAACTTAAAAGAATACTTGTATTATAAACGAAATTTAAAGAATATTGAATTATAAAATAATTACCATATTACAATCGAAATTTAAATCAATTATCGCATTAAATCGAAATTAAAAGAATGTTTGTATTATAACTGAAATTTAAAAAAATATCTGTATTGAAACTTTAAAATTATTATCATAATTTAAATCAATTACTGCATTAAATCAAAACTTAAAAGAATACTTGCATTATAAGTGAAATTTAAAGAATACTGAATTATAAAACAATTACTGTATTATAATCGAAATTTAAATCAATTATCGCATTAAATCGAAACTTAAAAAAATACTTATATTATAAACAAAATTTAAAAGAATATCTGTATCAAAACTTCAAAATTATTTAAATCAATTACCGCATCATAATCGAAATTTAAAGAATTAATCGCATTAAGTCAAAAGTTAAATTAATTACATACAATGTATTATACTATTAAAATAAACTCTATTTAACTGAAAGCTTATAAAAAGGTTTATTTCCCTTGAACTATTTTTAATCAAACTCTTCAAAATTTTCTCACAAACAATATTTCAAATCTCTTTTAATAAAAAATTTTCTCACTTTCTCACAAACAATATTTCATCTTTCGCCAAAAAATAATATTTCGTTTCCCTTTCGCATATATCATTTTCACTAACAATATTTTGTCTCTCTTTCGCATACATCATTTCTTTTATTCTCAATTTCTCACTAATATTTCATCGCAAATATGACTAGAAATATGAGTCGAAAAAAAGCTATAGCAGTATGTTGTCAACCACCACGTCGCCAGGAAGCGACGCATCAACAAAAAACTCAGGAGTGACAGAAACTCCTAGTAGCTAAGAAACGACAGATACTTCACATCGGCAGGTTCTGACAATAACTTCAATACCTTCGAGTAGCCAAGAAACACGTCGGCAGATTCAGACAATAACACCTCTTAGTAGCTAAGAAATATCATATCAACAAGTTTTAGCACTAAATATAAGTAGTTAAGAAACCCCATGTTGGCAGGTTCTGATATCTCGAAGTCAACAGGAAATATCAAAATCTTCACGTTAGCAGGATCTGGCAAATGAAGGATATTCAAATTATTAGTGCCATCAAGTATTTTTAAAGAAACTCAATCTCAATCTCAATCTTCAACTTGATCAAGTGAAGATTATCATATTTTGCTTAATTACAGGATTGAAGACGAATATTAATATGGTAAAATCTCAACCGCTGGTATGGTTAGAGATGCCATTCTGGAAGCTGATAACTGGAATCTGCAGACATTATCAGCTTCCCGTCTTAGGATACCCAAAAGGTTTTCAACACATTGGCAAATAGGTGACAAAAGATGTCATATTAAAAGGAGTAGCGAAAGGAGTATAACCAGAGTTAGGAAGTACAGTGTTAGTACAATGATATTAGTACAATTAGTACAGTTAGTACATTATAATAATTAATATAAAAATTAGTACAAGTACAGTACAAGTATAGTATTAATTTTATTTAGTACATACAAAATTCCCAACCCTGAGTATAACTCTTTATCGTCGACAATTCAATATTTCTCGAGGTAACGAATTTTGATATACTTCATATCAATACATACGAGATTGCGGATTAAGACGTGATGAAAGAAGTATAACTCCTTATCGATTAAGAAGAAGAGAAGCTTCTCCTGGAACAACTGATTCTTTGCTGAGCGAAGGTAAGTGTAATTTATTGCAAAAATTTAGCCGATATATATTTTTTAATCAATTTATTGTTAAATTTTCTATAAAAAAGCATATTTACGTAAAAGAATCGACAAGTTAAGCAGGCAACTCAGCAAATGCAAATGAAGAATTAAGAGATTTAAGAACAGAATTCGGCAAAGTTACTGGAGATAATGAAGTGCTTATTCGTGAAAATGAGGGTTTGTGAGACGAACTTAGACAAAGCTGACGAAAATGTAGAGATGAAAAAACAGATGAAAGTCATTAAGGAAAGTGAACTCGACAAAGTAATAAAGATAAAAGCGATGAAGAGAGGTATAACAACAATGAAATGGCAAGGATTCGTTTAAAAACTCTTTAACTTTTCTGAATTCTAATTAAAATAACTTTAATTCTAACCGATTTTTAATTTAATATAACCTATATCAATCAAATTAACTTAATTCAGCTTTTATTTTTTTATAATTTAGAATGAAATGAGAATGATTTTAATGATATTACCGACCAATCTCGAAATGAGATATAATCTTAAGTTTGGCAGTGAAGAAAATACTGAAATATTACGAAAAGTAATAACGCGTCTCATCGATGTGTTAAAAAGATTCAAAATGATAAATAAACAAGTCAAGGAGTGGCTTAGCGCCTTCCATAAGTATCAACAAGTTCATGTATTATATAAACAACATGATACTTTAGATCATGATAATCGGCATTTACATAAAAACAGTCACACCAGTGAGATAAATATCGAAATTATTTTTTTTAAAAAAAGCAACTTCAATTAACATTTGATATTTTTAATATAGAAAAAGGATCGAAGAATCAAAGGTGCTAATTCGCTTTTTGATTTAGGTGATAAGAGAGTTTCGAAATATGATAAGGAAGAGTTATTGAGGATCTTGAGAACAATCGTTATCTTTTCCCTGAAGATTCAGAGATAGATTTAGAAGAGAAGAAAATACAATCAATTAATGTTTATAATTCGAGCTGAAGATCAGACGAGGTTTGATAAATTTTTAAAAATTTATTTATATTTTTAGTTAAGTTTTTAACTAATTTCGATATTTAATTTTATTAGTTGAAGTTATTGTTGCGAAAGCTCGACTATCATGTGTTCTCGTTGCAAACTGCACAATTAACAAGAACTCGAAATTATAGCGACCATTTTACAATACCAATTCATTATCCTCGAAATGCTCCTGACTGGACATTTGTAAATCAAAACACTTCAGCAGGCACTAACTTTTCCGCATTCAGAACCAAAATTGAGGATCAAGATGATTACATTGAAGAAGAAGAATAAATTCGACAAATTATAAATTATAGCGAATTGTCTTCTATTGTTTATTTATATTTGTATTTATTATATTTTATAATTATATTATATTTATATTTTATTTTATATTTTAAATTAATAAACCAATTATTATTAATTCAATTTAATTACATTATTATAAAATTAATAAATCGTCTAAAATGCAAAATAGATATTAATAAGATTGTCTAAATATCAGAAATTTTATTTTACTGATTTTTTGATTACTTATAGCCGAAATATTACCGATTTTATTAACTAAGTCAAATTTTGTTTGTTTTATTAATTAAACGAATTTAAGCTGATTGTATCAAACATATAGCTGAAATATTACCAATTTTTATTAACTAAGTCGAATTTTGTTTGTTTTATTAGTTAAACAAATTTAAGCCAATTGTATCAAAGTTTTCAAACTACTACCAATCGTTAATATCAAATGTTTATTTGTGTGACACCTGAATTGGGCAATATCAGCTATAACTAAAAATGCTGATTGTTTTGGCAATCTTCAGCAGAAATTAAATTATATTTTGGCTAACATTTGGCATTTTAAAAAAGTTACGAAATGGATTATTTCGACTAGTGCTTGACAACATACCCATTGTTTATATGTTTGAATGCAGCATTCTATATAAAAAATTCATACCAACTTTTAGTATTAATATAGAAATACTTGCATCAACATTACTTTCATTGAGATTTTCTATATAATTTTCATCATCACTTGAATCACTATCTTCTGGAATGCTGTTAAGAAACTCCTCAGAAATATCACTATCAGAATCTTCATTAAATATGGATTCAATATCACTCATCTTGTTTGGTTATAAAGAAAAAGATTTGGAAATGAAAGAGAGAGTTGATTTGAAAATGATGAAAAGAAAGAAGAAAAAAGCTTATAAATAATATGTATAACACAAAATAGTTTAAAAAAGTTTATTAAATAAATTATGTCATGATATGCGTACAAAATATGCTATACAGGGGTGCACAAAATGCATCCTGCATAAAATACAAATTTACTATTAATAAACTAACATATATATAACATAAATAAACTTTATTAAAAATTGATTAATTATGCTAAATACAATTTTTTTTTATTATATATTAAATTCTAATTTTTAACATAAACTAATCTTATGATTTATATAAGTTTAAATAAGCTATTACAAAGTATAATATATAAGACCTTATCATCTATAATATATTTTGTTTCACAACGTAGCATTTGGTTTGCAACTTCTGTTTTACGATATACTCATCCGGAATTTGATATTGAGTAGCATTTTGATTATTTTTTTGTGTATATTTAATATATTGCCAAGTGCTATTATCTTATATTTTGAATGCAAAATCTTGTTTACTGGGCGTCTACATAAGGATTATTAGGATAATCCTCAAAAAAAACTCTGGCGGTTTATTTAAAAATAAAAATGACTATTTAATAAACGAGTATTATATTATTACTCTCCATTTCACAAGAATAATACCTACTTACCAAACAACCGATCTGAAAAAAGCGATTTCGATAGGATTGGTGACTACACTAATTTTGGTAGTGATCAGCCAATGCTGGTGTTAAAAGCCAAAAACCTGATCAAAACCAGAAACAATATTTGAATGATTAGTTATTATAAATATTCACCGAAATTTCCCGAATTAGCTTGTAAACGGTGGAAATGACGATTTGTATTGATCTAGTAAAATTTTCTGGAAATTTCTAGGTATTTATGATCCTTTATAAATAGCGGCACATTTTAATCGCGTTTTCAAATACAAAAAAAAAACATTTCAAATAATAATGTCACTTATTAATCGTTTTCTTCCAGAACTGAATCGAGCATTTACACTATTTGATGAGCCATTCTTTACTAATGTAGCTCGTCGTTATCCTTCTTCTCTTCCAACCTTATCGGATCGATTTACTTTCCCAAATCTCTATCGTCCTAACGTTGACGTATCAGAAACCGATAAAAACTATGTTGTTGAAGCTGAAGTTCCTGGTATGAAAAAAGAAGATTTGTCTGTGGAGTTCTTGGACGATAATACTCTCGTTTTGAAAGGTAAAATTGAGAGAGGAGCTCCGGCAGAGGAAATGAGAACCGTCGATGCTACTGGTGTAGCTGAAGGTAGTACAACCGAGCCCAACACAACCGGAGAAGTAGTTGAGGCTGGTGGTGCTGTTATAGATGAACCAAAACTTTGGACTTCTGAAAGAATGAGGGGTCATTTTCAACGTTCATTCCAATTTCCTAGTAAAATTGATCATGAGAATTCAAAAGCTTCTTATAAAGATGGTATTTTGTCGATCTTCGTTCCAAAGATTGAAAGACATGGAAAACAAATTTCAATTGAATGATAATCTTTTTAAAATGTTTCATTTTGTTTATAACTATAATATAAAAAATATTTGGGGTGAAAAAATTTTTTTTTCATTATTTGCAAATCAAAAAATATTTTTTTCTTTTTAATACATAAATAATGTTTTTAATATTAATATTCACCTCAAATACAATCAAAATTTTTTTGATTTAAATTTTAAATAAAGTAAATAAACATTTAAAATTTTACCATAGTGCCAGTTGGAATTACTGCGCTACATGAAATATACTCGCGTTGTTTAAACTTCGTTAGGCAGCACACTATTGCTTATGCACGCGTACCTTCTGGGTACCATAGCTTCTTTTGGAGTAGGTTATACTGCTTGTCATTATAATCTAGTGAACAAGCTATACGAAAACTTTAACGACATTCCATCAACTACTCACAAGGTAGCTTCGAACTTGAAAGGCCTTGACATTTCTAAAAATTTGTAAATATGCGCGATTTATTTGGTTATAACTAATTTATTCCATTTGTCTATGCGAATAGCGTCACCTTCTTTATGTACTAGTAGGACTCAGTTTTCTTTTTCTTCTTATACTCTTTCCACTTTACAAAATTGCAGACTACGAATCAAAAAGAGTAAATATCGACTTAAATTATATTGCTCAACTTAGAATTACCTATATAAAACTGAAAACCTTATTTTCTTTTCTTTTGCAAGAATAACGGTTACCCGTATAGGACCTCGGCACGTGAACATCTTCAAAGAAGAGGAAGTTTTTAACTTTCAATAATATTTTTGGTGAGATAAGTTATGAGAATATGTTTTTTTTTCCAATTTATAAATATTAATTGTTTATTTTACTTGTGATATAAGTTAGAAAAAATAATGAATACTCCAGGAGCTGTATCAAAAATATTCTGGCCGGCACATGTATGCACACCCCGAACCAAAGCTGGATTCTTGGTCGGTTGGAACATTCGTAGTTTTACCACTTGTATTGCATCGGTAATCTCGGATGTAAATGTAATCAATTTATGATTTTTTTTTTTTTTTAAAAAAAAAATAATATATTTAACTTATTATATTTCAAAAGCTTAGTGATCTAGAAGCCACATTGTCTGCTTTGTCAACAGATACTAGTTCGTCGTTTGTATATATGGGAAAGGTGTGTGGAGCACCTCCAATAGTTTTGGGTCTTTTGACTACATTATCTGACATTAACGGGGAAGGGACAAGTATCCTCAATGCAGAAGGTAAGAATTTTTATTATATATATATTTTTAATATCAACTTTCTTAAATTCTTTATCTGATGACCTTTTTTATGTAGGTGTTGCAGACAGAAAGAAGACAGCAAATTTATGGATGACAATCCAATTGCAGAGCAATAATATGCCTCTTCTAAGGTAAGAACAATGTTTTGTATGTTTAAACTTAACAGATTAATTAATAATCTTTGTAATTATACTTATCAAGATCGATCTATTGTTGTGGATATCGTTATTCAAATGTCAGTTCAGAAATCATTTTCTACAAACAACCAAATCCAACTAGACTTCAATACATTTCACTTGAGCCGTTAGTATTAGATATTCAACAAGACGGCAGACATAAGGTTGATCAAGATTCACTCATAATTAAAAACATGAAAAAGATCATAAACACTCGTTTACACTCGGGGAAACAGCGAACGCAGATAAATGACATGGAACTTATTTTGAATCAGGTTAGGAATGAAATTCACAATTAATTTTACGTTACATGCGGAATTTAATTTTTTCATTTGCTATTATTAGATTAATTCTTCATTTGAAACTGAGAAAGCCATCACAAATAGGTGTCGATTTTTTATCAATCGACGTAATCGTTGTAACATTAGCGTTTCTGAAACAATGATGCAATACGCAGTTTTTATTAAAAAGATTTTTCTTTATCCCTTAAAATATCTGCTGCTTGTTTTTCGACCGATCATTGTACAACCTATAATTTTCTTTCTTATGTTAGTGAGAATATTCGCCGAGATTGTATTGTGGATTTTAAATTTACGATTTCCCCCTTTTATGTTTAATGGAATGGCATTAAAGGATTTATCTGCGACATGTAACGTAAATTTAATAATTGCGATTCTATTTAAAATGTTATCCTTAATATTAACAGCTGTAATTTATTTCATGTTAATGTAGCGCAGCAAATCGATTTACGACTTCAACAAGCATGTTTTTGGCCTTGGCAATATATGCTACTTAGGCGAAGGGATTGGACAAATACTGCGACAACACGAGCACAATATATTAGGTGAAAATTATAGTCTCAATTATGAAATATTCATTCATTCTTTTTTTTTTAAAAAAATAATGGGACAATTTTTTTTTAATATATATATTATATTTATATACGTTATTTATATTTCTAATTTTATAGCTTTTATAATAGCATGTGGCTTGTAGCAAATGATATTATTATCGGGCTTACTATTGGTTCTTTTCTTGTTAATAATAGTGAATATGTGGCCAACGTTATTTTGAAGGACTATCTTGATGTAAGTTTGTTAAAATCCAAAGTAATTTTAAGTAATTTTTCTTAAACCAACTTTTATAATTTTTTTTAATATTCTAGCATTATACGATAGAAAAATTAGTATCAATGATAGATTGGCTCATGGGTTGGCCGGCCGGATTGAAATTAAATAGTGAATTGGACAGGTTTTTTGGCGAACTTTTTCTTCGCCTAATCGAGTTATGGGAAGGTAATAAAGAATTTATTTTAATTAGACTTAATATTTAAGTATTGACAAATATTATTTTTTATAGATTGTGTGGATATTATAGGACCATTGACACCAACTATTATAGGAATTATCGGGTTATCTGGAATGTTGGGTGGATCAATGGTTATATCATTACTATCCGATTTTTTATCTTTTATGACTATTCACATCTATTTATTTTATATGGTTGCTGCAAAAATTTTCAATTGGCAGCTTACTATATTATATTCTTTATTTAATTTATTTCAAGGTACTAAATTTAATATGATTTTGATACATGAATATATTTTAATATTTTCCTTTGTAATTTATAGGCAAGAAATGGAATACTTTACGAAACCGTATTGATTCCTGTGATTATGATCTGGATCAGTTGCTTTTGGGCACTATATTATTTACGTTATTAACATTTCTGTTTCCTACAGTAGTGGTTTATTATGCAACTTTTGCGGCTGTAAATATATTCTTTTTCGCATCGATATTAGAATCTTAATATATTACTAACAAATTTGTCATTTTTAGAGTCGTGTAGCTGTTATTTTTCTGCAAGCAGTTATGGAAACTTTATTGGCGTTCTTAAATCACTTTCCATTATTTGCAATTATGTTGCGATTCAAAGATCCGGATCGATTACCAGGTAATAATCAAATTAATTTGTTATTAAGAAGAATTCGGTTTTTTTATAATTTAATACATTATTTTGTTTAGGTGGACTTAAATTTGTAATATGTGATCCAGATTATTATGCAACGTATGGAATAGCTAGAGTATTTAGAGATATAAAGTCATTTTGGCCATGGAATAGTCGATTACGTAAAATAAGTGTTACATCTACAAACACTTCCCCGATAATTAACAATATAAGTAGTATAAAATCAACATCAAAATTCGATCGAAATTCTCAATACGAAGAGTCTGATCAAGTTATTAGAATGAGAAAAAATCGAATAATGAATAAATCAAATTCATCATCGTCATTGTCAATATCTCCAACTTCCCCTATATCTTCAGCATTTATATCATGGCCACCAAAAGTGAGCTATTTATTCATGCAGGTTTGTAGAATTGTGTATTGTTTTATTAAGAAATGTATAGTTAATTATTTCTGAATTTAATTCATTTTATTAGAATTTGCCCATTCCATTATCAGCAATATTCTTTCAATATTTATTATTATGGAGACGGTTAAGTTCACATTATTTTTCTTTTTATGTATTACGATGCCTTGTTAGTGGTGAAAATATCAAACCAATAGCTAGACTTCAGTATCCAATGTTACCTGAAACTAGGTAATTGCATCGCTTTGCTTTTCTTTTTTTTTTTTTTACTTTATAATTTGGTTCATACGTTTATATGTTCACTTTATGATATAATAATTTTAGACCTAATTTAATGAATTTTTGGTTGTTCCTTAAAATAAGCTTTGCTGTACATGATGAATAATATAATGATAATGAAACAAATAATTAAACCGTAATAAATTAATAAGGGTCATAAATAGGATGGATCACAATTTTATTAATTTGTTGAAATAAATACTGATTGATGAATTTGATATCGTAATTAAAATGATATCAGTAAAAGCCACATTTTTTTATCATAACTCTATTGTTAAATTTAAATTAAGATTGTTTGATACATCATCATAAGAATTATTATAATATCCAATAAAATTAAATATAACATTAATTTATTTGTTATTAAGTATTAATAAATATATTAGTAAAAGTATTAATAAAAAACAAATTTTGAAAATAAATTATTTGAAAAAATTATACAATCTAATAAAATATTTTTTTAACATATGGGTTGTGATCTAAGAAAATCAAGTTCTGAGAATTTTTATTACATTTAGACCAAAATGTAATAAGTCATTAATTTTAGTCAAAAATTTCTCAGAACCTGATTTTCTTA